CCAACCATAAAATTATTTTCGTTGCTACTTCATAACTGTAATGTTGCTACTGTTATGAATCGTAATGTAAATATCTGATATGCAGGATGGTCTTAGGCGACCCCTGTGAAAGGGTCGTTCGACCGCCAAAGGGGTCACGCCCCACAGGTTGAGAACCGCTGCCTTAGATTGTAAAAAAAAGACAACAGCCTGCAAAACAGTACCTATCCAGTGTGAATAAATCAAAATTATACGTGTTTTTTTTTTTGTTAGATTGGCAAAAGATATATTTTTTTGGTGTACTGCAGAATTCTAGTAATTAGTTTATATGTGCCATGAGATGAAAAAAGGTTGAAAATCACTGTCCAGTGCTTTTTAAAATGTTTTGTGAAACTACTTTAGGGACTTATTATTTCAACTTATGGTTATATAATTTTGGTTTATTTCATGAGACTTAGATATGAGATGTACAAGAAATTATCATGTGATCAGTGCTGGTTTTATGAAATCACAGGATGTGTACCTTCATTCTGTTAAAGCTTCACTTTGTGAAAGCTCCTAAGATTGCATTGTTGGGAGGGAGGGGAAGGGGTAAAAAGGTTGAGCTTTGATGATAGTTAGAGTAGTTCAGGAGAAAGTGTACTGGGTTGTACTGATGACATGTTGTCTGTTCCTTTGGCCAGCACACGGAGACATTGAACATTGTGTTTGTAACTTACTTCAGAATACTGAAGAAGGCCCAGAGGTCCCCTCTCCTGCCAGCAGTTCTAGAAGGTCTTGCCAAGTAAGGGCTGTGTAGGTTGAAACCTTGTAGATTGTTTCTAAGTAAATAAGAACGAAGTAACCATGAGTTTTGGTCAGGGTTTCCTAATGATGACTCGTGTCCTTCTCAGTTCTCTTTTTCTTGGTCACCAGCCTTTCCTTGCTTTATTTTTATTTGGCTGCTCTGGAAGGATTCTCATTTACTTGGGTTATATAATTGTTAGACCAAAGGGTATGTTCATTTTAAATTTTGATAAATATTACCAAACTGCATCCCAAAAAGATTATACCAATAGACGGGAATGTGTGACCTCTAGGTCCTTTCCTGTTCTAAGATTTACATGGTGTCAAAGGCTCTTGCATTAATACTGGAGAGACATCCTTGAACTAGTTCAGGGCCTAATCTTTTGTAATGTGTAGAATCCTCTGACGTTTAGTAGCTCCCATGATTCTTTCTCTTTAACTCTAGTGGGTGATCTCAGTTATTTCTAGAAATAGAGGCCCAGGCCAGTCCTGTGACTTAACCTAGGATCATAAAGGTAATACATTGCAGAGCCTGAACTAGACACCAGCTCCAGCTTCTTTGCCCTTAAAGCTTTCATGGGGTCCATATTCTGATAAATAGCAGAATCTTTCCTCCTTCCTTCTTCTCACCACCCGTGTTCCTGGAAGCTGATGCTGCTCGCGCTCTTAGGGCATAGAACAGTGCTGGATGCCCGGTAAACTTTCTTCGGGGAAGTTGTTTGCTCTTAGCAACTTCTTCCCCAGGGCAGAAGTATTTTTGAAATACTGTATTAGTTTGTTTAGTGCCTCATATGTT